ATCCCCTTTAACACTGTATCATAAACATTTTCTTATGAAAGTATGATTGTTTTCTTTTATGAAGTGTCTACTTATATATAGACTTTGTTTTTTTTTCGATTTGCTTACATTTTTATTAAAATTTGTAGTTAATCTTTATTTAGTTCTCTTCTTTAAGACTTTATCAATGTTTGCAAATATACCTCGTATCAGAAATTGAAAAAAGAAAAAACTACTACTGACTGTCCTTACTCTGGGTAGGAAATTGTACTCATACTTTTATGACTGAAAGGGTTATGATCAACTTTTGGTAGGTGACCTGATTTAACTGCAGTTCTGGCAATTGAAGGTGCTTGACAGGCTAGAGAGACCCAGAAAGTACAGTGCTTTTAGTGGGTGTTTGGCTTTCATAAGAGACAGCTGACCTTGTGGCCAGCAGAGCAGTCATTCTTGGTGTCGCAGTTTGGCTGCATTCATCTTAGGGCCAGGCAAGGAGCCATGGTGTACCTACCACTTAACATTTCCAAGGTCCAGATGATTGATGGTTTTCTCTTGGGGGGAGGGGGGGGTTCAAGTTTGTTTATTTAAAACAAACTTGAGAGTGAGAGATAGATGCAGCACCCCCAGTTTCAGCCAGCCCAAATCATGGGACTCCTCTGATTTTGTTTGATGGTAGTTGGTACTTAAAAGTTTCTAAATATCATTGCCATCTTGATCATTGATCATTAAAATGGTCAGTGTTTTTAACAATGACTTTTTTGAGATTAGAGAAGCTATTTGATTTGACTCTTAAGATCTGGCTGCATCAGCAAGTTAATTAGAATGTTTATATGCATATGCAACCTTTTTGGGAAGGATAAGATCCAGTAAAAGTACAGCTCTGTGAATTTTAATCTCAAGTGATTCATTATAACAGTTTTACTTTTATAGTTTATGGAGTTACTCAAATTTTATATTTATGCCCAGATTGATTACAGTGGTCTTGGATAAATTAGGTCAGGTGGGAATATTTGTTCAACTTAACAGTCAGTTAAAAGAATGCAAATATATATGCAAATATCCAAAATCTGAAAAAAATCTGAAACCTTTCTGGTCCCAAGTATTTGGATAAAGAGATACACAGCCTGTACCTGAGTCACTGTTCTTTAGCTCCTTCAAAAGTGGATGTTACGCTTTTCTGCATTAGCACCTATTCGTCTGGGTCTTTTTGGTCTGGTGAGAGATGTTGTGGAATACTTGGGTGGGTTTATCTTCTGGATTAGACCAAAAACACCCTGAAGGGAAACACCTTGTTTACAATTTAATCCCAAAGTGCACAAAATCATGTGGCTAATGAAAGTTAAAAATGCATTTGAGGGACCAGCAGATGGCGAAGTGGTTGCATCAGTGGACTCCCACATAGTCAACTGTGGTCTAAGCTCTGGACCCGGCGGCTTAAAATTCACGCCAGGCATGTGGGCCTGCATGCCCAAGATCCCAAGAGGAGAATGAAGGTGAACGGATTGAGGCACGACCATCTTCCCCGGGGGTGATTTCTCGCTGTCTGTTTCCCTCTCATTCCAGTGAGCACACACACCTGTAGCAAAAATCTCTCAAAAAACAACCAAAAAACCACATTTGACCCTTGAATAACACGTGTTAGGGACACTCATCCCTGCACAGATAAAGTCAGCTAGAGAAAAGAAAATCCTAAGGAAGAAAAAATGTATGTGCTAGTTGCTAGTACAGCACTGTGTTTTCCATTCTATTAGGGGGTAAAGAGCACGTGTAAGTGGATCCGCATACTTCAGACCTGCGTTATTCAAGGGTCAGGTGTAGATGATGAACAGGCCTGTTTAACAGGAAAAGAGCATTAGGTCAGTAGGACCTAGGCAGTCTAGTGGTGCATCATGTGACATGTCAGAGTCACTCTCGTCTTGGTGTAAAATCCCACTGTATGTGCAATTGTCATCTAACACTTCTTTCTTTCTTGCATTGGCCGAAGGGCCTCTTTAGGTATAGTTGGGTTTACATGTACTTTATAGAAGAGTCAGCCTAGGGATTGATGTTATCACAGACTCCCACAAGATGGCAGGCCAAAACCTTTTTTGTGTCAACTAGGTTTCAAACAATTTTAACACATCTTCTTATGCTCTTGAGTATTGTTACAATCTTTTTTGCTTTTTCTTTAGGTGGGCAGTATCAAACCGAGAAATGCTTATAGCCCAAAACAGCTCCCTGGAATTTAAGCTTCACAGACTGTATTTTATTAGCTTATTAATGGGTGGAACTACAAATCAGTGAGAGGCATTACAATATGCTAAACATTTCCAGCCATTTGCCCTAAATCATCAAAAAGGTGAGTCTGAAATTTACGAGTTCATTGTAACTAGAGCTAATGCGTATCTACGAATATCAAGCAATTGTGGATGAAGATCACTTACCAAAAAAGCTCTAACTGGCTCCAGAACAAAAATAAAATATTAAAGCCCCTTAAATGAAAAAACCAGAAGGAGACATTGCAGATTTGGGGACTCCCAAAACAGGTGTGCACTTGCCCTATTCTGTCCCTCACCTAGCATGGCACCGTTACTGCCACGACAGCGTGTCTGAGACCAGGTAGCAGCCCTCAACCCCACATGTCATAGTGGCGGCTTCTACAGTTTGTTTATTTCTTCCTTGAGAGGGAGTGAGATGGCCAGAGAGAAGCACCCCTTCATGCCGTGATCCACTCCCCCACCCCTCTATCTCAGCCAGCCTAGATCATAGGCGTTTGTGCACCTGTGCCCAGCATGTTCAGGGCCATCCCAAGATGTGAACCCAGGACATTTCCAGTGTGGTTCGGGTGTGTTTCTGTGCCACTTCCTGGCCCCCAGACCAGAAATTTGAAAGACATCATTAACTACATTGTCAGGCTGTTACCATTTGGGGTGGGGTAGACTTGCTTTTCTTGGCCTATGATCTGCAGACAGACGCCATTTCAGATGTGATTATTCACACGTCTAAATCGCTGGTGCTTTTTTTGTTTAGACATTCAGGTTTTGATGGGAAGCCTTGTGTACCTGAGACAAGGGATTGAGAACTCACCGTATGTTCACCTACTTGATGCAAACCAGTGGGCTGACATCTGTGACATCTTTACACGAGATGCCTGTGCCCTCCTGGGGCTCTCTGTGGAGTCTCCTCTCAGTGTCAGGTATGGACATTGACACTGTTACTGAAATATGCACTGCACTGGTCATCATCTCTTAACTTGTTGTCTAGTTAACTTTTTTTTTTTTCTTTAAAAAAGGGTCTTGCCATGCTGCCATCCTCTTACCTTAGTCTCCCAATTGGGATTACAGGCATGTACCACCATGCCCGACTCTTTTTTAGACAGGGTCCTTCCTGCTGTGCTGTCCCAGTCGGCCTTGAGCTCACAGTTCTCCTGCCTCAGCTCACCGAGTCACTGGCATTGTGAGCGTATGCACTGTGCCTGGCCATCAGGTTGGATTGTACATGGAACCGGGCCTCCAGTACGTCCTAGCTGGCAGTGCACGGCATCTTAGCAGTGAGTGCCTCTGGGGCTAGGCCTGTAGTCTAGTCCTTAATGTTTAAAGCCAAGAGAACTGTCTTTCTGGAGAAGAGTTGGTATTTTAAGAGATTGTTGGAATTGGCAGTGACTTGGTTTTAGGGCGTTGGTTCTCAGAGTGTGATCTGTGACCTCAGGGGGTCCTGAGAGCATTCCGTACTGTGTTTACATCCAGAAATAATGGTGGGTTCGTTGCTTAGTGCATGTGGGGGCAGTGGTACCAAACTACACAAGTCTCGCTGCATTCCTACTGCCACTCACTCGCAGTTTAGGAGGTGCTAGTTTTACTTAAGAATGTTTTTGATGAAACGGGAAAAACTTAGTTTTATCAAATCTTTGAATATGCATCTTTTTTCAAACGAGAGCTTTTTGCTATAGGGTGTGTGCCTTTGTCGGAGAAAGACAGAGAGACAGAAAGTGAGAAATTACCCCCCAGGGGTCATGGGGACATACACACATGCCTGGCGTGAATTTTAAGCTACCAGGTCCAGGACTCAAACCACAGTTGACCATGTGGGAGTCCAGTGATGTAAAGCCTACACCATCTGCTGGTCCCTGAATATATGTCTTTTAAATATTCTGTATGACAGGATAGGAAATTTACAAAACGCACTTAAGTTTCATGCCAGAATTTGTCTCAAGATATAGCACCCGTATGCTTAGGTTATGAGGTAAGCTAGCCAGTTTTTTCACGGAATGCAGTTTTTACTTGAAAGAATCACTAACAGGTAAACTGTAATGGATACTCAGTCTTGGGAGTTTTTTGGCAGTCATTTAAGTTTGCTTTTTTTTTTTGAGAGAGAGATTTTCACTGTAGGGCGCGTGTGCTCGCCAGACAGACAGAGAGAGACATAGAGACAGAAAGCGAGAAATCACCCCCCAGGGGGGATGGTCACGCCACAATCCCTTCTCCTCCATTCTCCTCTCGGGATCTTGGGCACGCACGCACACGCGCCCGGCGTGAGTTTTAAACCACCGGGTCCAGGACACTAACCGCGGTCTACTACGTGGGAGTCCAGCGACATAGCCATTACACTAACTGCTGGTTCCCCTAGTTTGCTTTTTTTTTTTTTCAATTAAATAATTTTAAAAGTTCCCGAGAAAGTGGGACCAAGAGATGGCATAACGGTTATGTCACTGGACTCTTACATGGCCAACTGCAGTTCAAGTCCCAGACCCAGTGGCTTGAAAATCATGCCACACACTTGTGCGTGGATGCTCAGGACCCCAGCCGAGGATAATGGAGGGGAAGGGATTGCTGCATGGCCATCCCCCCTGTGGGGGGTGGTTTCTCATGTGCCCTAAGGGAAAACATCTTTAAAAAAAAAATCATGATAAAGGGTATGTGCACTCATGAGAGAGAGAGAGAGAGAAAAATCGAAGGAGAGAGGAACATCCTCCGCAGGGCTTGGTCATGCTTTGATCCCCTCCCTCCATTCCTTCAGCCTGTCAGGATCCTGGGGATGTGCACATAAGCCCAGCAAGTTTACTGACTGGGGACTCAAATCATAGTCTACATGTAGCTTTTAGCTTTACAGTCTAAAACACTGCCGGCTGTGACACAGAAGCTGGGCCAGTCTTTTTTTTTTTTTTTTAAGAGAGGCTTTCGCTATAGGGCATGTGCGCTTGCTGGAAAGGTAGACAGAAAATAAGAAATCACCCTCTCCTGGGTTATGGCCACGCTGCAATCCCTTCTCTTCCATTCTCCTCTTGGGGTCTTGGGCACACATGTGAGTTTAAGCTGCTGGGTCAGGGACTTGAACCATGGTCAATAATGTGGGAGTCCAGCAATATAACCATTACGCCATCTGCTGCTTCCAGACCAGTCTTTTTGTTTTCTTTTTCTTTTTTAAGAATTTTTTTTATTTAACTTTATTTATTTATTTTAATTTGACCAGAAAGGACAGAGAGAGAGGGAGAGAGAGAAAATGAGAAAGCAAGTCTCCAGATCTGGGACTCGAACTATGGTTGGTCTTGTGGGAGTCTAGTGCCTTTAACCACCACACCACCTGCTTGCTTCAACCTTTTTTTTTAATGAATGAAAAACCTGTCATTAAAGATAAACGACTGACATTATCTTTGCCATGATGATGCAGCTCAAGACTTTAAGCTAAAATAGAAATTTGGACAACGTGTACACTTGACCATTGAGATTGGAGGTGGAATTGACAAATTTGATTTTTTTAAATATTGTATGATGGAATGAATATTTGGGATTCAATACGATCTTACAAAATTACTCATGACCGTAAGAGTCATTCATGGGACAAGTCAGACCAGTGGTACAAATAATGGTACAAAAAAATTCAGTAGTAAGTTGTGAGGTTCCACTTTGCAGCTTACCTTTAGGAAATATGTACTAGTTGAGTCTCAATGCAGTATTACAAAAGAATATCCACCACTATCTAAAAAGGTTATTAAAGTACAACATAGCTATATGATGGAAGATTTTGTTCATTTACTTTAATCAGGAGAACGTATCACAACAGGTCGAATGCAGAGGAAGCTGTAAGCATCCAACTGTCGCCCATTAAGCTAAGCATAAAAGTAATATGCAAAAATGTGAGAGCCAGGGTACAGTGGCTCCTGCCTATAGTCCCAGCTACCCTGGAAGCTGAGGCAGGAAGATCGTGAGTTCAAGACCAGTTTGGGTAACCAATAAAACTTTCTCTCTTCTGGAAAGAAAGAAAGGAAAGCAGTGCTACTCTTTTTGTTTTATTTTATTTTATTTATTCATTTGTTTATTTCAATTTGTCCAGAGACGGACAGAGGGAGAGGGAGAGAAAGTGAGAATGTGAGCCGCCAGGTCTGGGACTCGAACCGCAGTCAGCCATGTGGGAGTCCAGTGCCTTTAACAACTGTGCCACCTGCTGTCTCAACAGTGCTACTCTTCTTACCAGTGTATTAAATGCTGCCAACACTTCAGCTCTGAGAAATGAGTGCTTCTTCCCTAGACATGGGCAATCTAAGTCTTAAGGAGATCTGTGCAAAAAAAGTCTCAAAGGCAGAAATGTCATTAATGACTGATAAGCAGAGCCCATTAAACTGGTTGTTTTTATAAAATACAAAAACCTTTTTTGCTATAATGTCAAATTGTTATAAAATTCTCAAAAGTTTATTCTCAATTTCTGTACTTTTTGGCCCCGAAATGGTATGTAAACCAGCACCAGTCTGCAGACCACACATTTGATTATCGCTGCTCTAGTAAGTGCATTCCTTGGAGCACCTTTCGTAAGGAAGATAGATAGATGTAGGTGTACTGGTGGATGGCCTGGAAGGAGAGAGAGCAGGGAAGGTGCGATCTTGCTGTTGAATGAAAAGTCTCTGCAAGAACATACTTCTTTTTTAAACTTGATGCTAAAAGCACAGCATGAGTTCTTAATTCATACTGTTTGTCCTTCATTTGAATTGACATATTCAAGACTCTCTTAGTGATGAGTCCTCCCTTTCAACACTGATGCCAAAGCTGCTTTCTTTTTTAATGAATGGAACTGTTTTTCTAATTATTGAGAAATTCTTAGAAAGCAATAAAAATTGTCTCCGGCTTGTACTTTGAATGACTCTTTTAGCCATGCATGATTCTTTTAGCCATGCGAGATCATATTGAATTATGACCTTTCAAATACTTAATTCCATCATACAGTATTTTAAAAAATCACATTTATGGGACCAGCAGTTAGCATAATGGCTATGTTGCTGTACTCCCATGTAGTCGACCACGGTTCAAGTCCCGGACCCAGTGGCTTAAACTCAATGCCGGGCGCGTGTGCGTGCGTGCTCAAGATCCTGAGAGGAGAAAGGAGGAGAAGGGATTGTGGCGTGGCCATCCCCCCTGGGGGGTGATTTATAGCTTTCTGTCTCCCTGTCTCTGTTTTCCTGGTGAGCGCACGTGCCCTATAGCAAAAAAAATCAAATTTATTCATTCTAGCACCAGTCTCATACAGGAAAAAATTAAGTCACCAATTGGAAAATGACAGTCTAGCAACATTAAATATACTTTATTGTCAGAGAGCATGTGCACGTGCCAGAGAGAGACATAGGGTGGCAGAGAAAACACACCCTGAAGTAGAGGTATGGTCTGGCCATAATCCTGTGCTTCCATTTCTATATCCTGTTGGGATTTGGGGCACACACATGTGTGCCCAGTGTGTTTTTTGAACATTCAGACTGGGATTTGAACTGCGGTCTGCCATTTAGGATCTGGCTTTTTTTTTTGCGAGGGGAGTGATTTTTGGTTTTTTTTTTTTTTTTTTTTTTTTTTTTTTTTTTTTTTTTATTGGGGTGGGTCGCTGTGCGTGTGCTCGCCAGAAAGAGACAGAGAGACAGAAAGCAAGAAGTTACCCCCAGGGGGGATGGCCACGCCGCAATCCCTTCTCCATTCTGCTCTTGGGATCTTGGGCATGCACACACACCCGCCCTGCGTGAATTTAAGCCACTGGGTCCAGGACTCGAACTGCAGTCATCTATTTGGGAGTCCAGCGACATAGCCATTACACCAACTGCTGGTCCCTGGGATCTGGCATCTTAACTATTAGGCTATGGGCCTGGCTGAATGTATATTTTTTAATTTTTGCATTTTTAATTTTTTTATTGGATTTCTCCCACATTGATAACATTTGTTTAGTAAACTTAAGAGTTTTGTTTTTGTTAGACACTGGGATCTTTTGTCAGTAACTGTCGGGAACATACCAGTGGGCCTGTAGAGTGGGGGACGGTGGCTAGATTGTAGCAGAGCACAAGACCATGTCCCTCGTGTGGTGACAGGACGGCCTGTGGCCCGCAGAGTCTGGAGGACCTGACATTTCCTGGGACCAAGCAGTCTTGACTCCTGGTCTTGGCACTGATGGCTCCTTTGTGCTCTCCCAGTTTCTCAGCAGGTTGCGTGGCGCTGCCAGCTCTAATTAACATCAAAGCTGTGATTGAGCAGAGACAGTGCACTGGAGTTTGGAACCAGAAAGATGAATTGCCTGTGAGTTCCATTTCCTATTGGCTATTTACCTTTCCTGCCATTAGAAGAATGTGGGCGTTAATAGTTTAAAATGCCCATCCTGCCCATTCTGCATTTTAACCAGGAAACATTATAGCCACTTGCCACGGGTTCTTTTCTGTATATGCAGACATCGTTAGGAAGTGGAAATGAAGAACCGTGTACATTTTGGAGGCACTGCAGGGGTATTGTAAAATCTTGACTTAGAGTGCAGTCTGAGGAAGGAAACCTCGGAGGTAGAGAGCCGTCTGCACAGGAGCATGCAGTGCGCTCTGCACTGTAGTTTACAAACCTCTCAGGCTGACTTTTTTTTAAATATAAAAACGACACGTCATTTAAAAAGGATTTAATTTTTTTCATAAACATCGGTGTTGATGAAATCCAATTCTGTTTTTCTAATATCATTTAAAATAAACACATAGCTATTAAAGGTTGTCCCTGTGTATTGTCAGTGGGCCTCCAATGGAAATACCTTGAACTCATTAAACGTGAACTCCAATCACTTGACGACTCTGACTTCCCTAAGCAGTAGTTGGTTCATCTTTAAAATGAAGACCACCCTTCTCTTTATGGTGTAACCAAAGGCTAGAGATAACCCAGGCATGCCTAGAGTGGTGTAGGAGACATAGTAGGTTCTCAGTTGTGGCTGCTTCGGTACGTTTGTGGCATGGAGCGCACAGGCCCTTGCCCGTGCATTTTTGCTGGCCTCTGGCAGTGGCTGGTTGGACTGTTGCCTAGAATCATCGCTCCTGTCACAACTGAGTCACAGACCCTACAGGGCTAAAATATGCATCGGATATTTTGCCATTTTTCTGCCACATGTGCACATAGGTTTATCTGCAGTTAGCTTGTTCTTCCAGCTGGTAAGCCTGTCAGTTGCTTGCCCCAGCTTCTCCTCAGAGATCTTTTCTGATTAAACGCGCAGGTGGGTTCCCAGTCCTTAGTGTGGTCAGGACACCAGTGGCATCCCTGCTCCACTGCTGCCAGTTGGAGCAAGTGAAGAGACCGTGAGCTTCACTCACTTTGCCGAGGCAGGTGCTGGCATCTGGCTGTCTCCCAGTTAAGGTTTTATCGTGGACACTTGGGCCTTAGAACAGAGCAGGCTGAAATCGGAGTTTGCCTGAAGCCCGCATGTCAGGCTAGTGAAGCAGCTGGAGGTGGTGATCTGGCCCTCTTTTGTCAAGATTGTTGTTACACTTTGTCAGCTTTGTTGAAAGAGCCTGGGTAATAGACTGTTATCTCGGTAGCCATTTTAGATTTCCAAAAAAAGAAACTGAACTGACATTTGTGGAGCCTCTGTCATGTGCCAGCTACTCCACTAGGTGATGTCAAAGCTTTTATCATTGTTCTGTTGTGGCAAAGAGAAATCGTTGATAGAAGTGCCGTGGGCTTTGATGTACCGATCACAAACGGTCTGGTGGAAATACGGCTTAAAGTGCTGTTTCGGGCGGTTTCTCTGGCCCATTGCAGCATGTAGGAAGCTCATTTCTGGACTTCACACAGAAGAACAACCCACGTCTGCCTGTAAGGAGTTACAGGGCGGAACCTTATCACCTCGCTAAGTGAGTGTGCCACACGACAGCATTTCTGGTGGGCTTTGCTCTTAGATATATCCTGGCAAGTTTTAGGAGTATTTGACTTCTTGGGTACCACCGTGCCTTAGCCTCTGTCACACAGCAAAATCTGTTTTGAAAAGTATGTTATAAATAACCTCGAGGGTTTTGAAAAGTATATTATAAATAACCTCAAGGGTAAACTGAACATTTCAAATCCTGCAGATTATCCACCTTTGCATTAGTTTGAAGAATACTCTAGAAATTTCCATTTCTGTGATTGATCTGATAGATACTTTTGCTGTGGGTGCATATTAACATGCAGATGGTTTTCTGAAATATAATCTTGCCTTTTACTTTTGTGTTGAACAGATTGAAGTGGACCTTGGTAAAAAGTGCTGGTATCACTCCATATTTGCCTGTCCTATTCTTCGTCAGCAAACCACAGATAACAGCCCTCCCATGAAATTGGTCTGTGGTCATATTATATCAAGAGATGCCCTGAATAAAATGTTCAATGGTAGCAAGTATGTGTCAGATTTTCAAAATGTTATTAAGTGAATTTTATTTTGGAACTTGGTGGGAGGAAGGAGTAGTGAGGATAAATAAATATAGCTAGATTTAGAAATAGAGTTCTGTTTTGTTTTTATTCATTGTCATTATTTTATTTTTTATTTTATTGAAGTTAGCCAGAGAGAGAAAGAAAGTGAAAAAGCAAGCCACCAGGTCTGGGACTCAAACCACTGTCAGCCGTGTGGGAGTCCAGTCACCTTAACCACCACGCCACCTGCCAGCCCCGAAATAGATTCTTAACTATTTATTTGGCAAAGTGAGTGGTATCTGATCTTAAGTCAGTCTTTTCAATTTGTGCATGGACCTGGTGATTAGATTTATAAGCACAATCATTAACTCTTTACTTTGAGATAGGTGATATACTCATTGAGAGACAGGCGCAGCCTAAACCTCTACAGAGGTAGTAGACTTCTTCTGAAGCCTCGAAATAAATTTGCAAAACAAATTGTATTGTTTACAAAATAATTTCCACTAAAGGAAAAAGGCACTCAGCTTAGGATCTGGTTCGGGTGGTATTTACTTGTGGTTTCTTAAAACTTGGCAGTTATATTAAGAAAAAGCCTAGTTAATACTCAGAGCAAAATCTAGACACGTGTTGTATCTGTTTGTATGCATGTGCATAATTGTCAAAGGTAGCCTGTAACTCGATGAAAATCAGGTCCTGTTCCCTGATTCAGTGTTTTCTTTCTTGTATTTAGATTAAAATGTCCATATTGTCCAATGGAACAAAGTCCAGGAGATGCCAAACAGATATTTTTCTGAAGAAGTAACTTTAGTTTGCATTTGTAAGTGAAACTGAATTGTGGTGCATTTCAGAAGAGAATGTTCCATTTAATGCAGCTAACCAAGGACTCCCGTGCTGATATCAGCTCATGCTCCAGAAACTTCGCCAACGTGGTAGTGTGTCCACACTGAGGGGAGTGCTCCAGATGAATATTATCATAGGGCTTTATTATATTCTTGGTCTTCATTTCTGATCAAGTAACTACACCAGCAGTTGTCATTCAATGCAGGTTTTTGTACTTAATTATATGGTGATTTTTTTACTTTTTAAGAGCAGAAACAGAAATTGACCTCCCTGCCATGTGTTTAATATTTCTCCTGCTTTTACTTTTGTCATTTTCTTGATAATTGTAAGCCTTGAGAGTGTTTGTGGACAAGTTTTATTTCCTGTTATGTATACATAATTAAATGAGAACTCTTCAGAAAACGTTCGGTAAACAGAATTGTGGTTATAAAACTAATCTTGCATTCTTTTGCTTAAGGAAGAAAGCTGTGATAGATTTCACATTTGCTTCTTGATGTTTCCCTCTGCTCCAGCTCTTGCTGAGGAGTCAGCACACCTGCATTTGAGCTGTGCTTGTTAGCCCCTGTGGGCTCTGTGCTTAAAGTTCCATCATGAATTTAGCAGGTTAGTGCACAAGGCCTTCTGCTAGCACAGAGTGGAAGGAGTATTTTTTTTTTTCTTTTATTGCCAAGGGGTGCTTGTTTTAAAAGTGTGTTCAATAAAATGAAATTCTGAAGTTAGAAGTATCCTTAAGTCGATATTTGCTCTCTCGGTCCTGGTAGCCCTATTCTCTGAAATCTGCCTTCAGGACTTGGCCATCTTTTGCATTCGTATCATTGCAGACACAGTGTTGTGTGTGTGTGTGTGTATGTGCACCAGCATCAAACATTGTGTATCTGGAAGGGAAGAAGCATGTTCCAGTCCTAAAACACAGTTACCAGACCAATCAATTTAAATCCTTAAAGTTAGGAGCTAGCTAATTTTCTGTAGTGCAAAATATGTTTATTGCTGTTTTTGTATTTGAATAGTATACTGTTCAATGCCTCTTTTCTGCAAAGCGTATCATCTCATTGACTGTGAATCTGTATATTATGCTAATGGATACAGATAATGATCTTTTCTCTTGTGAGGTATCTTTATTTAATGCACTGTCCAGAAATAGCCATGTGTAAGAGTCTTTTTCTGTGTGATGGACTACATGAAAAAGACTTCTGTGGATATGATTCTGACTTAAATCTCATGAAGTTACTTCATTATGAGAAGAATGTTATATGGAAATCACCAAATACTTTGCAACTTTATTTTATCTGACATGGAGCTGAACTTCACTATAGGAATACTTTCATGAGAAAATGAAAAAAGAAAACACAGAAGCAAAGAGAAACGTGACACTTCACATTTTCAACTGCAGATGGACTTACGTTTGGGGGGAGGGTAACAGATTTGGTGCTAAGTTCATTGGAAACCGGCAGCATTCGCAGTAAGTAGTATACCAGCCTGGGTGGTTTATCCTGAAATGTTTACCTGGGGGGCTGAGATTGGTGAAGGGAGAGAAGACTGCAGGAAAGGCCTGCTTAATTCTGTGGCCAGGCTCCGTTGAGGCTCCTGTGTGCTGCATAGGTTCTCAGGGTCGGCCCAGCTCAGAACACTTGCTTTGCCCAACCTCAGTCTGGCCCACAGTGATTTTACCCAATGTTTCTTCTTCACCGTTGTTGGAACCCTCTATAAAGTTCCCCCTCTCCATTAGAGCATTGAAGGAAGAGAGCAGAGACAAGCTCCTTGAATTGCAAGAAGAGAAGGTAGAGAATTCCAGACAGTACTCTGGTCAAGGGTGGAAACCGATTTATTATTTATATAATTTTCCTTTGAGTTAGCACCTAGAGTGTCGTTTTTCCTCCCTAGGGCAAATTTAGCTTTATTCACAACTTATTTTCACGTTTCCACCCCAAACACACAGTATGTATACTTCACATAAGGGTTGAATGAGACTGAAATTTTCCAGAGGCTGGTGATAAATACTTTTGGCGGCCAGAGTCTTCACATAGTTGGCTCAGGCCTCTTTTTAAGGACAAAAGCCAGAGCTCCGCTTTGTCCCTCCGCTGGGGTTGGAAGTCCTGTTGGCGACTTTCAGTGCAGCTCGTAAAACTTGAAAACAACATGCTTTAACTGAAACATTTGACTGTACGACTTCCTGTGTTAGGTCCTCGTAGTCCCACTGGGCAGAGTGAGGGCCAAAACTGAAATTCTATTGATCTGAAATTTTGACATGAACGTTTCGTCATGTGACCTTCCTTAAAGTTCGTAGACTTAAAATTCATTAGAAACTAAATGTGGAAGAGGTAGATTGGGAGTGGCCAGACCTTAACCAAAGATGCTGAAGTATAACATTCTGTCCTTCCTTTCGTAGAAACACCCTCCGAGGTGGTGTTATGACCGTGTCATCACTGATGCTGTCTGTGTGTCAGCAGGGTGGGAGGGTGCTACTTGTAAAGGTAAAGATAGGGGCAAGGTTTTTACAGTCAGACTAATTATAAGGTACATTGAAACAGAATTTCAGAATGGTTTCTTAAAATTCTTGGGGAACCGTTTCCATTTATCAGTCATGGACAAAGGCCATGGGACTATGCTAAACCAATAAAACCTTACTACCAAGTCTTTAGATTCTGACTTAGCCAGGGCATCTGTATTTTCACATACAGCCTGCATGGTGGCTAAGGTTGTCTTTTGATCTTTTTCCTCGTGTGTGATCATCACAGATGCCATTTCTGTTGTCTCATTGGTGATCATATGAGATTTCTGATACATAAATGAACGGGTATTGGTGCCTCTTTGTTTTTAAATTTTTGAAGAAAAGAGCCACCTCATTTTCATAGGGTGTGTATTTTGTGAGTGTGTGAGCATTTAATTGAACATAAGAAAGGTATAAAGCAAATCTTTTTGTTTCAGTTTTTTCATAGCAGCTAATATATACAGCGACACTAAACCCACGCCAAATTTTGTGGGGAGTGAGGATCCTTTGTTTTCTTCTTTTTTTTTTTCTTTTTCTTTCCAGGTAATCCCACAGGTTATGCAGTTTAATTTCAGTATTCTTTATGCTGTGAGTTATTTCCACCTCAGCAGTTTTAGCCTTTGGGTCAGTGGATTTTGCAAAAAACCAAGACCTCTTGGTTATCTGCACAAGAGAAGCTGCTGGTAGACTACATTAGCCCTCTGGTTTTCCAGCTCAACCTCTGATAAAGTGGACTGACAGCCTCGCTGGTCAGTCTGTTTAGTCAGCAGACTCAGGTTATTTCAGGGAAGGCATGGAGGCATGGTTTGGTTAGTTTCATCACTAGGATGTATAAGATGAAGACAAACCAAATACTTTTCATTATTTAATTCTACATGCATTATCTTTGGTAACACTAGAATGCAGTGGTCTTGGGAGGATGTTGCAACAAGGAACACAGAAAAAGCTTGGTGTTCCTAAGCCTGTCTGGCAGTGTCAGGTTTTACGTGGTACCATAGTGTTTACCAGAAGTAGGTACAAACTTCATGAACTCTTCTTACTGAACTATAATTGAATAGATACCAAAAATAGAATAGCAGATGTATTTTAATAGCAGATGAGGCCGTTAATTTTAGGGCGAATTTTCTGCTGTTGATTTCACTTCAAGGCATAGTGAGAGAAACAAAATTTTGTTTTCAAGACATTTCTGCTTCAGTTTTAAACTGTAGTGGGCATATGCTTCATTTACTTCCAAAGAGGCAAAAGCAGCTGGAATTGGCAAACAGCACATGCTTTGTTTCATGTTATGGATGAGGATCTTTTTTCTTTTTTTTTTTTTTTTTTTCCTGTAGTCACTTCAACCTTCTCCAGCACAAGGCAGATGTGCAGTTTGCTAGGATTAGTGCCTGATCTTATTCTTTTGGAAAGGGGTGGGAGTGAATGTATCGGGGATGGGAGGGAAGCAGAAGGTGGGAGTGTGAGTGAGTGTGCACGTGTGAAGTTCACGTGACCCCTGCCGTCACCGAGTGTGGAGCAGGTATCTGATGTATTTTGCTCATAACTGCAGCGTGCATGTATTTCTTTCCTCCTCATTTTCTAAACTTTACACTAAAAGGATTCATCAAATCATCTTGTTCAGATGGCTCAGGATTGTATTTCTTTTGCTTACCCTGTGCTCTTGGGTTCTATAGTATTTCTATAATTATGTAACAAGAATAGTGTTGCACTGTAATCTATCATATAGAGCTATATGTATGGAAAATTTTGATCAGTTTTTTAAAAAAATGTATCCTGTTTGCAAAGGCACAATAAATAAAGTTGCATCTTATAGACTATAGGCAATAAAGCTAACAATAAACCTTATTTAACACAAACCATATTCATATTCTCTGTTCATTTGATTTTAGAAGAAAAAATCAGCATATCCAGTAGTTCCTGGGGTTTCATTTTAACATAAAAAGTTCTGATATATTTAATTGATATATTCGAGACTTATAGAGTTTTGGAAAACTATAAGAAATGCTTCGTTAATGTGTGTATTCCTCTGTAAAACACATGGGGTCTCCTGTGCGTATTTTTAAAAATTAAAGAAATGTACATTTAGAAAGTGTTCTGTGGAACTGGTCTTTATAAATGTGCCAGATCACAGAGTTTGGTGGTCACTGTGGAGATGCCTGCTGCAAAAAAGAGAAAATTGCAGTCCGCGTGGCACGACTGTAAGGAGATATCTTTGTCACCATCTCATCCTGTTTCTGCGTCACCAACAATGTGAGGGGAGGTGACTAGGCGCCATCCTGAGATGTTAGTAGCGTATCGCATTAGTGTTTGCAGCATGCTCTGCACAGCCTGAGCCCTGTCCTGCCCTCTGACTAGAATGACAGGGTCCGACTGGCACGAGGAGCCCGACACAGCTTGTCCAGGCTGCTGTCAGAATGAGGCATGTCCACTGAGCCTTGCCCGGGGAGAACAGAGGCTGTATTGTCCGTCCTACTCAGCAAGACAAGCTAAGGTGGTAGAGACAAGAATGGATCTGTGCTCCTTTTGCATATTTAGAGAGAGACTCAGTTTTACCCGAGATTTTGGAATGTTTCCTACTGACGGTAAGCCCTGTGGGTCTTGCCAACTCTCATCTGTGGCTGGTGGCCCAGGCAGTGTAGAGGAGACCTAGTAGGCTAGGCCAAGGTCTCACCACCTCTCCCTGTAGTATTCGACCTCTCCAGGACCAGGGTGTGGCTCACGGACCACCAGCATCAACAGCAGCTAGGAGAGCTTGTGACAAGTGCAGAAATGGAGGCCTCAGCCCAGACCTACTTTATCAACATCAACATGCTCACGATAAACCGATGTCCCTCATGAGGAGCTCTTGGGGTACTTCCTACTCTGTGGAGTATCCTCCCTCCTAAATGCGGTGGGTAAAGATTGCACACGCTGAGCAGATTTACCCTTTGATGGCTAAGTCCTGAGTCATCAAGAAAAACTAAATTTAGTGTGCTTTGAACTGTGCTTTAGTTATCTTAAAAAGCAGCGTATTTCTTTAAGCATCCAGGTAAATGAGGAAGTGCTGTATTTGCAGCGTGGCAAAATGCATTTTTCACTCCCTCCCCATCAGAATAGGGAAACAGCATGAAAAACGTAATGGATTTTTGACAAAATAAGGACTGGAAATGGACCTTTATACAAAACAGCTTGATGTCCCCTCCTCCCAGCAGAGAAGTTTGATGATAAAATCCCAGCAAGCCCAGAAAAAGCACTTCCCAGAGGATAGGCTTCCCTAACGTATTCTCCCCCTTCAGCACTCGATAAGACATAGATATAACCCTGTATATAGAAGGCTTGTGGTTCCGAAACATGTCTTACAAAACTACATTGTTTACAGTGATAATGTCTGTTTTGTTATTTGGAAGTCAGAATTTTAAATGTGCCGCGATATGAAACTTCCTGAGCACCAGCATAATGCTGTAAGATAACTCACTATGTGTATGAAATATTGCAAAACTGAAATCCAAAACACTTGTGGTCCCAAGCACTTTGAATCAGAGATACTTACCCTGTGTTTTTGGTTATTGCCAGATTTAGAAATCTTGCATGAAGAGACAATGATCCATCCGTTATCAAAACTTTGAAGCCTGTCAATACACATATTATAGAAAGTATTTTTTTCTTTTTCCAAAAACGTACTTTGTAAGCAGTAGGGTATTTCTTAGGCTCCTGTGAGTCTTCCATGCTAGCACATGTGCAGTATAGCTAAACATGCAATGTATTGTATAATTAAGAGCTACTAATTACTGGACTCCTATGTGTCATATTTTGCATTTACTTATACTTCCAGCTTAGAGCAGTGCAAAGTGCCTCATACTTGTATAATATCGGCTTGTACAGTAGAATCCTTAAATAAACGGATGTATGTTAAATGCAGACAGCCTTTTTCTTTTCTTTTTATTGCCGGGGGAGCATGCACCCTCAGAGAGAGGGAAAGGGAGAAGGCTTTACTCAAGGTGTGGTCATGCCATAATCCCCACTCCATCTCTCCTTCCTGTCGGGATTTTGAGTGTTCACACATACGTGTACCTGGTATGGTTTTCAAGCCACCATGGCCAGGATTTAAACTGTGGTCAGCTATATTTGATTTGGCCCCCTTAACCAGCAGGCTACAAGGCCAGGTGTAGGTCTATAATTTGAAGTCCTAAAGCAGACCAGCTTGAGGTTTAGCAAGACTGTAGCCATTTTAAAATTAAGAAAGATCTCTGACAAAAACAGTATTACCAAGTGCTGAGTCATGGAAAGGTCTGAGGAGGGGTCAGATGAGAAACCAGGAATGGGTATTTAAAGAAAAGCAGAAATCAGGACAAATGCTCAAAGGAAAGTGAGTTTGAGCTTGGTGGGGAATGATGTGCGTGTGTTATCTACGATACTGAGCACATACCGAGTGAGCTTTTGGAGACCGTTTGGTGGTGGTGCTGGCTGTCTCCCTGTAACCTGGTTTCCAGAGCCTCTACCTCTCATTGACTGCAAGTACAAGCAGCCAGACTTGGCTTGCTGGAAGCTCCCACTCTAGCTACCGTGGGTTGAAGTGTGTGGTTAGGGAGGAGGTTCAGTGAGAGGCAGGGACACCACAGCAGTGGGAAGGGTGTTAGCATTTGCTGAGCATTGGTCTTGGCCTTATGTCAGGTACTGTCCTTTCAGGGGTCCTAGGGGCAGTGGTGAGCAACACAGCTTGGCCTTTCTTCTCAGGATCAGATAATATCCCAGAGTGAGAAATGCAATGAACACAGGAAGGGGACGTGCTCACCACACACACAGCAAGGGCTCCAAACTTGTTACTCAGAGACTCACTTAGGTGTTTGCGTCGGGCGACGGGCGATGGCAGGCTTCCTTGCTCTAGTGTTTTAAAATAGATTCCCATTTCTTCCTATCTCCTACATTTTTCAGGAGGGTGGATGTATGACTTCTCACACTGTCCTTACGGATGTATCCTGCACCGTGGATCGTGTAACATTCTGCCCGTTTCCACTCAGGACTGGCGTTTTCACTCCCTTTGAAGACTCCATTCAGCCACTGCCAGTGTTGCCACTCAGTTGAGGGATTCTGGAGTCTGTTTCCCACAAGTGTTTCCTTAAGAAACATCTTTTCGGGACCAGCAGTTGGCGTAATGGCTTTGTTGCTGGACTCCCACGTCGTCCACCGCGGTTCGAGTCCCGGACCCGATGGCTTAAACTCATGCTGGGCTGTGTGTGTGCATGCCCAAGATCCCGAGAAGAGAATGGAGAAGGGATTGCTGCGTGGCCATCCCCATGGAGGGTGATTTCTCACTTTCTGTCTTTCTGTCTCTGTCTGTCTGGTGAGCACATGCGCCCTATAGCAAAAACCTCTCCAAAAAAAGAAAAAAGGAAAAAAAAAAAAAAGGAAACACTTGTTATTAGCATTTAAGACTAAACTTTCACTTTCCGACTTGGAATGCATTTTCGATTTTCTTTCATTCTTAAGCACAAGACCATGTTGCTTTTGGTTATTTCAGATTAGTGAACCTGCTTTAAAGAGGAATTTCATGGGAAATTATTATTTTGGAAATTCTCAGGAGGGGTTCAGGACATTTGGGGCACAGGGCTTTTCCTAGTGTGTACTGTTAGCACGAGGCTAGGGCAGGTGAGGAGTGGGCAGTCGGGCTATGTGGTGGCTTGTGGACATCGAGGACTCTCAACTTTCTGCTCCGCAGCCTTAGCACGTGGCCTCACGTTCACCTTGGTCTAATCATAACTGTCCCAGGCAGGAAGGAGGAAGCAGGTAGGAAAGGAGCCAGCCTCGCAATTTGCCCTTTGTATAAACCTCTCCAGAAAGCCCCACCTGGTTGTGTACCTGTGTTAGAAACAGGAGCCTTGCCCTAAGGGCCTCCAGAGGGGCCCTGCTCATCCTGCTCCACAGCATGAATATGTTCCTTCATGTTTGTTTCATTTCAGAGCAGGTGGTCGCTTGGTTTCAAGGTGCTTTTAGGTTTTTACTTCACTTGCTTGATTTTAAAATTAGGAACAGGGACTGTCAGTCTCATGTTGCTACAATAAATACCGCTGGGTAGTTTATTGGGTTGTCAGAAAAATCATTACACACTTTTGCATAGAAAAACATCCCAAACTACATCGTGACTTTCCTGAC